CTTCTATTTTAATTAATTAAATCTATTTATTTTTTAAATACAATTCTTCGTTGGACTAAGCTAATAAGAATTTTCTGTTCTTTTCTTAATTTTACAACTTGCTTGCCATCAGTTTGTTTTGCCTTTGCTGGAAGAATTGATGCATCTTGTTTCACTTATTGTCTTTCATTTTTTTGGAAAAAGAAAAATAGGCAATCATATGACAAAATAAATATGCATATTGGGAAGAGTTTACAAAGAAAACAAGAAGAAAATTCACCTATTCCATCATGTAAACTAAAAACAAGAAGAAATCATTAAGAAACTGGTTATAAGTTTGCAAACAAAACCAACTGAATAATGACCTAGAAAATAATAAATATCCAGAGAGAAACATACTGACATTGCAAACCAACCTACCAAAGTATCCCAGAATGACCAGTGCTTACCACCCATCCTCGCCTGGAACACATGTCAAACTCAAACAAAGCATATGGATACTGAAGCTAGCCACAGTGCCAAACTAAGAACTAATCAAAATCCACTGATCTTATTAGTCACATTAACCTGCAAAGGATGCAATAATGCAATGAAGCTTTTTCTAGGTTCCCAGTGGGCATATTATACTTTGTTATGTAAGGTGTATATTAATATTAACATCAATTTTGTGTTTTGTTATTTTTATACATAGGGTAAACTTTTTGATGGAAGGACTGTGGCCGTGAAGCAACTTTCAGCAGCATCCAATCAGGGAAAGCGTCAGTTCATGACAGAAATTGCAATTATATCTTCTGTTCAGCATAGAAATCTGGTGAAACTATATGGATGTTGTGTTGAGGGAGGCAAGCGACTTGTGGTCTATGAGTACCTGGAAAACAAGAGCCTCGATCAGGCAATCTTTGGTATCATTTAATACCATCTCAAAAAAGAAAGAAAACATCAATAGGAGCTTTCATTTTTTTAATTATGTATCCTACATGTTTTGCAAATTTTATGAACAGCATCTTTAAACTTAGTTGTGCATATGACTATGTATAATGAATGCATTGCAGGTAAGAACAATTTGCACCTTGATTGGCCCATTCGCTTTGAGATATGTTTGGGGATTGCAAGAGCTCTGGCGTATCTTCATGAGGAATCAAGAGTGCGAATCGTACACAGAGATGTCAAAGCTAGCAACATTCTCCTTGATGCCAATTTAAACCCTAAAATATCAGATTTCGGGCTGGCGAAGCTTTATGATGATAATAAAACACACATCAGCACTAGAGTTGCTGGTACAATGTAAGAAAGGCCAACACCATTTTTCCTTGCATTCTTTATTCTATCAGGCTTTACCCATGATATCAGTTTGTTTCTTTCTTCAATTGCACCATTAGGGTTTGCTGGTTTGTGTACTTTATTGGGATATAACAATAATTTTACTGTACTTTCCCAGAGGATATCTTGCACCGGAATATGCCATGAGAGGGCATCTCACAGAAAAAGCTGATGTTTTTGCATTTGGAGTTGTAGCTCTGGAGGTTCTTTCTGGAAGGTCCAATGCAGATCAGACCCTTAAAAATGAGAAAGTTTATCTTCTTGAATGGGTAGGTTCTCCAGTTTATCAGATATTGGCTTAGAAAACATGTCAGTTTTGTAGGGTTTAATAACATCCATTTGAAGGCAATTTCTTGCTTGGCTCTTTCACAATGTAAATACCATGACACGCTGATGAATATATCAGATAATGGTAAGTTGATGATATGTCGATTAACTCTGTATGCATCCATGAAATAATTTACAAGACCATGAGAAATTGCCTTTCACACTCACTTTGTCAAACACCTAGTCAAATGCCTATCATTTGTGTGATTGAATACACTCTCTATTTCAATTCATTCCCTTTGATGTAATTATATTGTATTCCCATCACAATCCCATCAATTATGTCTGAAAAAATATATCACTCTATGACCAAATATTTTTGTTGAATGTACTGGAACTTGACAAAGTGGATGTGGATCCACTGTTCAATGGAAAGATTAGGACAATCATTGAATCCATCTTTCTTTGTCAAATAAAAAGGTAAAACATTCCCATTATCAATTGGCATTATAATGCTACATATTCTGATCCGTTTTGGTGTTCATTTTCTGTAGGCCTGGAATCTACGTGAGAAACAGTGTGAACTGGAATTGGTGGACCCAAAATTATTAACATTTGATGAAGCACAAGCAATCCGCGTTATCAATGTAGCTTTGTTGTGCACCCAAGCCTCACCAATGTTACGCCCATCGATGTCGAGAATTGTGGCCATGTTAACAGGGGATATTGAGGTAAGTGAAGTGAAGTCAAGACCTGGTTACCTGACGGATTGGCAATACAACGACTTGAGCAGCAACTTCGCCAGTTGTGGACTTTCTGAACCCGTCATCTCAGGATCTGAGAATGAGAGGTTCAGCACAGTATCAAGCACAAGCATGGTGCATAACATAGGAAGCTCAGCTTCACCCACACTACCGATGCTAGAAGTTATTGGTGATGGAAGGTAGCCATTGCTTCACATCACTTTTCACTTTGCTGCCTAATTGCTACGGGCAATTTAGACCTTCTCAACAGTTAAAGCACGAGGCATTATGCAAGCAACAAGAGTTTGCCATTTTGAATTGATTCAACACCATGCTGAAATATCTCTGGTATGAAAAATGGTTTTGTGATTAAGGGAATTTTGAAGGTGTGAATATTTGGTCCTACAGATGATCAGTGAAATTGAAAATGTTCTAAATTTGAAACTTAGCACTCTTCTAGTTTGCAAGAATAAATAAAATGTGTTTCTGGTTGTTTGTATAATACAGAATTATCTTATCAAGATGGAACTTGTGGAAAATTGTTGTTGACTGTCAAAAGATTATGTAAGCATATACTGATGTTATGGAAACAAATGTAAAGATTTATCATACTTCTAGCAAGAAGAAAAGAGAAATTGGAAAATTATGAAAAGACCTGACTCCTACCATTATGTTGAACTTTTGGTTGTCAAAGATTAGAATTAGCTGAACCTAAATTTGGATGGAAACTCTAAGTCTAGGCACCCTTTTTTTCCTCTAATTTTCAGCTGTATAACTGATATGCAAGGAGCAAACATTTTGTAGGATACCTAACATCATTGATATGGAATGCATTGATAAATTGAACAAGGAATAATGCTTACTATCTTTGGCCCAAAATTCCTTACACTCGACAAGGGAGATAATTAATATACATTTAGAAGCTGAAGTGTGTGAAACAAAATTGTCATGTTCTGGCTACATGTTTGATTGTTTAAGCCGATCATTATTTAAGTCTACTTCATTTCTGAATCAAAACAACTTAAGAACACTCTGAGCTTAGTCTTTTACTTAAGTTTTAATAGCCCAACTAAAAAACAGATCTGCAGCAACGAATCAACTACCACCCGGTGGTAATGCGTTATAAGATTGTGATTAGATGAATATTAATTCAAATGGAAATGGAAATATGCGAGGACTCTTGAATCGCTTAAAATGCAAAGATTTCAAGAGGTTGCTCCCTTGATTCATATCAGTGAAGCATGGACTGATCCGTCCAAACCAATGCATGAACAGAAAAAGGAAAAATTGAATTATTCTACTAGATGGTTGATTATTAGGAAAAAAATAAAAATTGTCTAAATGTAAAGATTTCAAAAGGCTGCTCCGTTGATTATCAGGATTTCAAAAAAAATGAAAATCCTAAATCTTTTAAGATTATTAAGAATAAAAAACCACTAAAAGTCCCAAATGTAAAGATTTCAAGACGCTGGTTGTTAGAGGAAAATATTATTATTGTTTTGGTCAGTCCGACGTGATCCAGACTTGTGTATAGAAGAATGTCCGAGGTATTTCCGAGGTGAAAGTATTGTGCTCTTTAGGTAGAAGTATTGTGCTCTCAAGGTAAAAGCATTGTGCTCCCGAGGTGGAATGACGTGCTCCTGAGGTGGAACATCGTGCTCCTAAGGTGCCACTTGTATGAAGACTAAAATCAGAAGAGGTTTCCCAACCTAATCCCTTTGATGCTCAAGTTACTAATTTGAGATCCACAAATGTGGATTCGAGTAGTTAAAAAAAAATCTCTTTTATTAGGTTTAAGATGTCTTTTTATATCTTAGAGGATGAGAAGAAAGTTTATTATTATCTGCCTTATCATAATAGATAAGAAGAAAGCATATGGTTGTCTTTCTTGTCAAGAAGGAAGTTTGAAATTACTTTCCTTGTCATAATGGATGAGAAATAAGTTTGTGATTATCTTCTTTATTATAATAGATGAGAAGGAAGCTTGGGTTTCCCTACTTTGAATCTTCATCCATGTAGGCAAATGAGTGAAGGGTGACTTGGATCTCACATGACAACAACGTGTCAGCTGATAATAGATTTCCTATCATTTGCGCCCCCCCCCCCCCCCGAAGGCATGCTTTAGGTCTCTTGTGAGAGGGGTTCGAAGCTCATTATTTAGTTTGTCCGACTTAGGGACGTTCAAAATCTCATCTTACGAGTCGCGTTCTCTTGGCACGAGTTGGGTTTTCGTAGCTCATACATCTTGGGTACATTTGGCCTTGCACCTCTACTGTAGTGGATCTCTTCACATGGGTTAGGTTTTCTAGACTCATGCATCTCGAGCGCATTTGACCTTGCGCCTCCACCATAGTGGATTTATCTTAGTGTCAATCGGATTTTTCTGACTCATGTGTCTCGGGCATATTTGGCTTTGCGCCATCATCATTGCAGTTTTTCTTCATGCGGGCAAGGTTTTGCTGACTTACGCATCATGAGCGCATTTTGCCTTGCGCTTCCACCATAGCGGACTCATCTTGGCATGAGTCAAGTTTTTCGGATTCACACATCTCGGGTGTATTTGCCTTGCGCCTCTACCGTAGTGGATTTTGCTAGTTAGAGGTGCCCTGCAAACCAATTACATGAGTGATGACACATGTGATATGCTGCGTAATCATTTTGCTTATTATTATTTATTGATATTTTCTCACTTTATGTTGTATGTTGTATATATTGTGATGTCCATGGATCTGTGCAATGAGAATCGGATCATGATAAAATCACGATAATGAGATAGATTCACCTTTAAACACAGACCCTAAATAATCCTGGTCATAAGTTGCTTGAGAGAGACATCAAGATAACCGGGCAGACTAGTGCGTTGTATACCCATTCATATGATGGAAGTGACTGGTTTTATAACTGCTCATACGGGGACACAAGGGATACAGTGCAAGTGCTCATTGGAGAATGAGTTTATTGATTAATCCGCTCATTAAATGTTGAATGGTTAATGATATCTCATTGTAAGATAATGATTCTGTGGTCTCAGTTGTGTATCTAGTCCTTAGACTTGAGATACCAAGGATGTCATGTATGAGTACTCCACTCTTTGATGCCAGACTTATAGGTTTGGAGGTTCCAAATCTAGCACAATCGATTATCGAGAGTAGTAGTCAATCTTACCAGAGCAATTGAGTGTCGATAGAGAATCATCTGCTCTTGATGTCATGAGAAAAATATCCTATGTATTCCTGTTTAGGCAAATCCTTGGCCAAAGTCATTCGGATTGAGAGAGAAAGAGTTCTTTGGGAGAATTTGATTAGAGCGAGACTCGAGTAGATTCTGTATGGGTTTGATAGCACCATGTTCGATATATGGTCTCTGAGATATTAGATGGATGAGAGACTATATATACACAATAATTAAGGACAAACATGTCTAATGGATTGGATTCCCCTATATTATTTAGGGACTACAGCACGGTGGCCTAGTACATCCGTAATCAATGAGTTGAGTGAATTATTATAAGAGATGATAATTCACTGAGTCAAAAAGAGTTCTGATAGGTATGACTCATGGCCAGCTCGATATTGGGCCTAGGGGGGCACACATATATGGTAAGTGTTGCGACGAGTAGAGGTTCAAATATAAAAGATCTACTATAGCTCTTAACTTATTGGATATCAAATAAGTTCTTGAATTATTGGATCTTATGGATAAAATCTAATAAGAGCTAATGAGAGATTATTAGGTAGAGATCCATTAATCCAAGAGACTTAGGTAGTTGGATGAAGATCTAGTACCTAATAGGGTAGGATCCATTAGAGTTAAGTTGATAGAGACCTATATAAATAGGAGGGAACCGAAGGAGTATTACTAGTCATAAGTGCCCAGCAAGCCAATCACGTGAGTGATGGCACGTGTGACTTAATACAGAATCTTTTTGCTTATTATATTTTGGCGTATATCACTTTATAACTATTGCATATGTGCATATATATATTGTGATGTCCTTGGATTTGTGCAATGGGAATCGGATCGTGATGAGATCACGATAATGAGATCGATTCACCTTTAAACACATATCCTAAATAATCTCGGTCATAGGTTACTCGAGAGGGACATCGTGATAACCGGATAGACTGGTGTGCTGTATACCCGTCCATATGATGGATGCAGCTGGTCTCATAGCTGCTCGTGTAGGGACACTAGGGATACAATACAGGTGCTCATTGGAGAATGAGTTCACTGATTGATCCGCTTACGGAATGCTGGATGGTTGATGATGCCTTATTGTCATACAACGATTCCGTAGTCCTAGTGGTGTATCTGGTCCTTAGACTTAAGACACCAAGGATGTCCTGTATGAGTGCTCCACTCTTTGATACCAGACTTATAGGTTTGGTTGTCTTAGATCTAGTACAGCTGGTCATTGTGAGTGGTAGTCGACCTTACGAGGGCTATTGAGTGTTGATAGAGGATCATCCACTCTCGGCGTCATGAGAGGAATATCCCATGTGTTCTTGCTCAGACAAATCCCTGGCCAGGGTCATTCGGATTGAGAGAGAAAGAGTTCTCCAGGAGAATCCGATTAGAGCGAGACTCGAGTATAAACCGTATGGGTCTGACAACACCATGCTCGATATACGGTATCTAGGATATTAGATGGATGAGGGATTATAGGTACACGGTAACTGAGGACAGACAGGTCCAATGG